TTTTTTTTTTTTTTTGGGTGTAATACTTGTTTATTTGAATCTTGTCTTGTTGAGATAATTGAAATGTGTTGGTGGTTGGCTAGTTCGGATGATTTTTACAGCAGATTGGGGCTTTGAAAATTTGATTTTTTTTTATGTTGCTTGTTGCATGTGTATGTATACGGTGTTCACATGGAATAAAAGGTTGCTGAATATTTCTTTTTATTAATGAAATGGTTAATTTGATTGGCTATTGGGCTCTTTTATTTGTTTACAATTGGGAGTATTTTATTTGTTTTGAAACAAATGGTGTAGAATGAATTGGAAGGTCGTGGGTTAATTGTCATGTTTAGAAGTTTGGGATGATAAATATAGGGTGTAAATAGAATTTTACATACTTTTGTATTTTGACGTGGTGAGCATTCATGATTACATGCCTTTTTATTGGAATTTTATATCATATTATACTTTATATATGCATAAGACATGCATGATGTATATTTGGAATGAAATTGTGGATGCATGATTATTATTATGTTTGACTCCTGCATTGGAAACTGTACCCATTCCCCCTCCAGACATAAGCTAGTATTTGATATTTATCCTCATACACGCATTGAGATGGTTCGTTCTGCCGAACCATTGGGATATCCTACTAGGACAAGACGGACGCCTGACGAGCTCCAGGCGGGATTACACTAGGCGGTTAGTGGCCGATGTGGGATTTTGGACATCCCGAGGGTAGACTGTGGGTCGAGCATGGTTATCCAGTGATGTTCATACCATCCTGAGGGTAGATTGCGGATGGTGCCACCCCGAGGGTAGATTGCGGGTGGTGTAGCTTCATGTCTGAGTTAGGGACTGGTTCAGTTAGTTATGATCCAGGCCCCTAAGTGCTAGTAGTGTGGTGATAATTGATTTATTTTATATGATAGTGGTGTGTGATTTCATGGCATCCGAGAATAATATATACTGTTTGTTGCCTTATCATGTAAGTGTATTAGTGTTTTGTGGCATATAACAGGATTATTCATGCATGTTTTCAAAGTTAAAGTTATTTTCGTATAAAATATATTATCCGCTCACTGGGCTTCCCATCTCACTGTTTTATGTTTCCTCCCCTAGGATCGTAGATCGGGTTCGTGTGGAGCATACTCTACACTCTAGGTTGGCCTTCTCGCATGATGATCTGCATCTTTTACAAACTTTAGTGGACTCTGATACTACGTTTCTTTTGTAACGGATTTCAGTTCCCACTTTTAGAATAATTATTTGTGTATTTCCACCTTCTAAACCTTAAACATGCAAATGCACTACTTTTCACTTTCGTTTATAAACGGAATTGTTTTTATGAATGTTTTTTTTTATATAGAGTATTCACCTTCCTTTCGGGATCCTGAGTCTTCTAGAGCGCCTGGATCCGATGGGATAGGGATACTCGGGAGGGGGCGTGACATCTTAAAAGGACCTTCCCATTTGGGCCTAAGTGTCCTCACGTTCGGGTTCTGTGTACCCGGGATAACCTTTCTGAGAACTAGGTCACCCACCTGAAGTCTCGATTTTTAACTTTGGAGTTGAAGTATCTTTTGCCTTAGTTGAGACTTAGCCTGGTGTTCTTCATCGGGCTGATACACCGGGATTTGGTTATATCCTGAGTAAGCATCCATGAAGCTTAGTAGTGCGTTCTTGGCTGTTGCATCTACTAGCTGATCGATATGGGGTAGCGGAAAGCTGTCTTTGGGGCATGCCTTGTTCAGATCAGAGAAGTCGACGCAAGTCCGCCACTTGCCATTTGACTTCTTTAACAAGACCAAGTTGGCAAGCCAGTCTAGGTACTTTACTTCCCAAATAAAATTGATGTTTAAGAGTTTATCAACTTCATCCTTGAGCGCTTTGGATCACTTAATATCCATAAATCTTCTCTTCTGTCTTATTAGTCGAGCCGCTGAGTCGACATTCAATTTGTGGCACATTACCTAAGGGCTGATCCCTACCATGTCCACATGTACCCAAGTGAACATGTCAAGGTTTTTCTTTAGGAACCCCATTAGACTGTCGGCCAGCTCGTCGCTCGGATTGCTTACAATTTTTAGCACGCGAGTTGGGTCTTCCTCACTGACAGGTATTTCTCATAGCTCTTCTGTTGGCCCTACTACGAGCTCTTCTTTGTGGATGCGAGGATCTATGGTGTCCTCCAATGGTCCGGGCTTTGGCTCAGATTTAGCATGACCATGGTTCTCGGGAGCGGCCATTTCTGTGCAGCATGAATGGCTCGATTATAACATTCCCAAGAATCTTTTCTGCAACTTTTGATTGTTACGACCCTACTTGGAGTTGGGAATCTCATTGCTTGGCAGTGCACTGAGGTGACTACGCTTAGTTCGTCCAAGATAGGTCTCCCCATAGTGACATTATAGATAGTCGGGCAATCGACCACTAGGAACTCTGACATCATTATCCTTATCGAGGCTCTTCCCCAAGAGTCACAAGCAAATCGATTGTTCCCTTAGGGACTAGGCTATCCTTGGTAAATCTATATAGTGGCGATGGACATGCCCTTAGGTCTCGTTCTGTGGACCTCATTTCTCGAAAATATTTCTTGGAAAGCTCCCAAGAAAATGATGTTTGCTGCACTACCATTATCGACCATTACTCTGAGTACTCGAGCATTGCCGATCATTGCTGTGATTACAATTGCATCATGGTTATGGTGAGGAGATTGTTCACACTCTTCCTTGGTGAATCCTATCACCTCGTTTTCTTGCTGGGTTGCTTTGGCAGCTTTTGCTCACAGCTCATTACTCGGGGGAATGAGTCTGTCTTGGCCTCTCATGCGTATTGTTCACGAGAACACCTGAAACTCCTTACAATGTCGTGTCACTCATAAATCAAACCCACTAAGACATCGTTGTTTGGCTGGGTTTGTTGGACCTGATTATTCAGCTCGCTTGGATTTTCGCGAGCTGGCTTTTGCTTGACAAATTCTTTCAAGTGGCCTATTCTAATCAGATCTTCAATGACATCTTTCATAGCTCGACACTCATTTGTGTTGTGCCTGATGTTTAGTGGTATCGATAGTATTTTTGACAATCTTTTCTGCCTAGTGCCCCCTTCATTCTTTCGGGCGCAGATAGTTTCCTAGCCTTGGGAAAGACTTCATAGATGTGAGCTACATCTTGAGTTAGGATGGTGTACTCTGCATACTACGGAAAAGGTTGTCTTTCCCCAGTGTTTTATGTTTTATGTCTTTTTTGGAACCTATTTTGGTCTCTATCATTGCGATCTTGGCCTTTCTGTTTGTTTGTCGGGCGATCTTGTCGCCTATCTGGGGCTCTTTTGGGTGAGCTTCTGGCTAAGGCGCTAGCGAGCTTTCTACTTGCTGATGTTTGGCGGCCATTTGATAGAACTTGGCCAGACTCACATGGTCTTCGCTTTGGAGCTCTTTCTACAGCTTTGTTTGCGGCCTCATTCCTACTATTAGCAAAGTTTGAATTGATTCCTCAGGTGCATCTGCGACATTCGCTTGTTCATTTTGGAACCTCGTTAAATATGAGGTTAGAGTTTCGTCTCTTTCCTGACGAATATTGCTCAGATAGCTGAGCTGCATTGCAAACTTCGCTTGGAATTGTTGTAAGTACAACGAGAATAATTATTGCCAAGACTGTATTGAGTTTGCCTTGAGTCTCTTGTACCACCTCTTGGCATCCCCTATTAGAGTGATCGCAAAACAGTGGCACTTTGCCAAGTTAGAGACCTAATGCAGCTTTATCAAGTCATTGAAAGAGTCAAGGTGGTATCTAGGATCCCCTTTCCCATCAAACTTGCTCTTTGGCACCCCGAATCCTTGGGAAAGCGGGGCTTGACAAACTTCCTTCGTGAATGGAGAACTTACTATCTCTTCTGCAGCATTATTCTAGCGAGCTCTTAGATCGTCGAGCATTTTTTGCACCCCATTTAAGTCCTTGTCATGAGGAGTATTCTGGCTACGAGCTCTGTTCAGTCTTAGCTCGAGCAAGTGAGTTTGGAGATTAGTTGCTTGCGAGCCGGCTCTATCATGTGCATTGGTGTGTGAGGTGGAGTCATGAAGGCTTGGTTGATAGGTGCTATCATGCTCATCTGTGTGTTGCTCGCAACGTTGGTCAAAATTGGAACGTCGGTCATTGCCAGATTGGCACGTGTGGCTAAACTCGCGAGCTTGTAAGGTTTGAGCCCACCTTTGGCATGGGTTAAAACCGACACACTAGTGTTGATTATTTCGCTGATTAGAGCGAGCATCCCTTTGTCGACCATGGGGTTCATTTTCCCCTTTAGGCTGTTTGCCTGGTCACCTCCCAAGGTTGACTTATCCACGGGATTCAAGCTCATGAAAGGAATGTGCCCTTTGGTGTCGGGGGTGACGGTCACTCCTTGGTGCCGACGAGTCAGATTGGTCGTTGGCCGAGCCATTGCAGCTCGTTGAAGTAACCTCAGTGAAGTGTGGTTGGTCGAGGTCTTGGTGGGCATGTTGCTGATTTTTTAACTTAGTCACGTTCTGTTGCACCACCTGTGCAACCATCGTCCTTATGATCTCTATCAACTGTCCATTCTCGGGATTTGACGTCCCTACCCCCTGTTGATTTGTGACCTGCTGCACTAATGGCATTGGTGGTCGACCTGAAGGAGCAGTCTGATGCACCTTTGGATTAGCGGTTTCCACGTTATCGTGGTTTCCGATGGTGGTTTTTGATTTGGTATGGGCCATTTGAATTTTCAGGTGATTAGATCACTAAAGTTAATTGTCGAAACTTTTGAAAGTAGGTGGATGCCCTCCTTCTAGCGCCAAAATGTTGATGCAAGAATTACACTAACTAGAGTGATCAAATTGACCTTGGTGGAACCAGAACTGATGTATGTGTGATTAAAGATAATCAGCAATATAATGAATATAAAAGCAGTAAACACGAAAGGTTTTTAAAGTGGTTTGGCAAGTTTGAATCTTGAGCCTACGTCCACTGTTTTTCTCATTTGCTTAGAGAGCTTACAAGAAAATAGTATAATGCCTAGAATAATTTGCTAACTTGTTTTCCATCGTTCGAAGGGATTTATATACAAATTTTTTACAAAGGAAAAAGCGAAATTAAAAGAATTACAATTAAGATTGAAATGCAACTCTGATATTCTCGCAATTGAGCTCTAAGATCTCACCATTATTGATGTTTATCTGATCCCTTCTGAAATATCTGAGATTTGACCTTACCTGTGATTTGCTTGAACAACTGTCAGGATTAGTCGCGACTAGCTTATGTTGGGTCGAGTTATATCTCAACGAGCTTATGCTGGGTCGGATAAATGTTGAGCCAAACTGATTATGGGTTGAACTATAACCTCACGGAACTCTGACTTCTTTGAGCTTAATGGAAAAATCACACACAACAAAGAAGTATAAAAGAAATATTCCACTTTGATATATAGAAGTGCAGGCTGTAATATGAATTATAAATTAATATACATAAAAAAGAGTAGCAAAAATCTTAGTTTTTACTTATGATTCAGGTACCAATTTTTAATATAAAAAGAAAAAAAAATAGGGCTAAAAACATACACCCTTGAGGTATGATCTAATAACAAAAATCTTCCCTGAGATTTTTGAAATAACAAAAAATCCCTTGTTATTAATGAATTGTTTGTAAGCCATTTAAATTTACTCTATTACGAGCTAATGAATATTACGAAGTTGCTCTTCTATTATTTATTTTAATGCGTAACATTTAATAACAGAGAAATTTTTGTTATTTCTAAAACCTCAAGGAGTTTTTTGTTATTTTATCATACGTTAGGGGAATTAATGTTATTATCCCACAAAAAAAAAAAAAAAAAAATATACACGGTTCCAAAGTTGAAGAAAACTAAATTCTTGTTACTTGTAAAGTAAGCAAATTTATTTTTAAATTAAAGCTTAGTTATAGTTGCTTACAAGTTAATTATGCATAGCCCAACCAATAAACAAAAGGTCAATCATCCCCTACAAATATGTGAAGTTCAAACTCCTTTATTTATTTATTTATTTTTTTTTTTATGACCGAAGTGTCCAAACAAGCTTATGTACACTTCAATTAATCTCAGGATCTATTGAATTCTGGTTTGAACCAGGTAATCAATTTCTTGACTGCTAGCCCAACCGTTGGGTTTGAACTCCACTTTTTTTTTTTTTTTTTTTTTTTTTTTTGGGTAAGTAGAATGGAAAATAGTTAATTGGGGTGAGAGATGCTCGAACTCTCGACCTCAGGATCACTACCTACTCGCTAGCCAACTGCCCCACCACCCCATGTCTCAACTCCTCTATTGCCTACCAATACAAGTCTTGTAAGTACCGCTGGGAATTTATCAATCTCTTCAATCAAGAAAAACTATGATATTCCGATAAAGAACGGAGAAAATGATCATTAAAACATGGGTATGATAGTCACCATCTTTTAGTCTTACATGCTATTATTTCGGAACCGATTTCTTACTTGATATATTCTTTTGTGGAACTTGATCGAACTTCATTGTGCCACCGCGGATATTCTGTCACCGACGCATTTTTGCGGTCTGCAGGAGACGAATAACGGTGCAACGGAGTTTGATTGATGTCAAGGTGATGAAGGATAATTACCATAGCAATTGAGGAAATAAACATGGGTATTGGACCAAAAAACCATAGAAGCAAATTAAGAGCAAAATAAAGAGCTCTAAGTCCTAGATACCAAAAATCACCTCCCTTTATAACTGCAGTCTCAACAAATTGCAGAGGTATTTCACTCTCTGGTATGCTAATCAGATAGTTTGCATGCACAAAATGCCTTATTGATTGGACAAAACATGAAAAGGCTAGAAGAAAACATACGACAAGGATTATGTATTTGATTGAAATGGTTGCAGCCCTGGTGTCCCCATAAATTAAGCTGCTCTGAAATACGTTATTGGAAGAACTTCCAAGCCACGCTCCAATGAGAGAGCTGAGGGTAATGGAGATTGTAGATAAGAAAGTTGCTGCTGATATGTTGCTTGATATCACAGAAACTGCTGCACCGGTCGTATCCCTGTTGTAATTCAGCACAATTTTTTCAACCCAAGCTCTCTTGTTATGGTTCTCGAAGCCGAGAGCGGTGGTGTGAGGAAGATTAAGGTATCTGTAGAGGAGGAAGAGATGGTATGAAAACATGATGAGCAACCCAGTAGGCACAAGCACCAGATCAAGGTCTTCCTTTTGGAAGTACATTGTTTCTTTCCTGGTGTTTTGATTTGTGTTAGTTGTGGTCTAAATTAATCTCGGAGGTTTTGGATTTGTTTAAAGTCCTTGACATTTTCCTACCACGCTACAACCAAAGCCAGCTTGCAATCTTTTGTTTATTTCCTTTTCATATATCAAGACAAGTGTGTCAAAGCTACCAAGAATTTATGAATTATCCTTGTATGACAAAGACAACATGCATTCTCTCATCCATGACCATGATTTAAACAAAATCCGAGAGAATGTGGAGTAAGTAATCTTCTCGTAACAGTATTATAATTAATAATGATAAACAGAACAAGACATTAATAACACTCCATTCTTTGTCATCCTTTCACTCTTGACTATATATATATATATATTGGTGTTGTGTGTGATTTTTCCACCAAGCTTAGGCTACCGCGAGGATGTAGCTCAACCCATGATCAATCCGACTCCATCGGTTGTCTGACCCAACATAAGCTCGACCCAGCACAAGCCAGTTGCGAACAACCTGAATGATCATTCAATTAATTCCCAGATAACTTCAGATCCCAGATATCGCAGGAATGACTAGATTAACAACAATCTCTGCACAATCACAATGCCCAACCACGAGAATATCGGAATTGTAGTTAAGATCAATTGTAATCCCTTTATTTTTGCTCTTTCCTTTGTACAAACCTTGTATATAAACCCCTCAAATGATGGAAAAGGGTATAAAATTTTAACAGAATTCTCATTGTAAGCTTTTACAGCAAATACAAAAAGCAGTGGACATAGGCTTAAGAGTTTACCTTGCCAAACCACTTTAAAACTCTCATTGCCATTTACTTTATTGCATTCAATACTTGTCAATCACTGATTATCCGTAATCATGCACACATCCATTCCGATCCTACCAAGGTCGATCAGAATTCTTTGGTTGGTGTAGATTATGTATCAACATTTTGGTGCTAGAGGGAGGGCCTCCGCCAACATCTCAGCAATTCCTACGAACAGTCGCAACAACCTATCCAATCCAAGCCCACAATAGTGCAAACCAGATCAAAGACCACCACTGAAAACCTCGAGAATGTAGAGACCATCCACCAGGAGGTACAATAGGACGTCGCTAAACACCGACCACTCGTGCTGCCAACTTAGCACGTCACGAATAACCAGGGGGTAGGGACGTCAAACCCCGAAAACGACCACCTGGTGGAGATGATCAGAACGATGGTTGCACAGGCGGTGCAACAAAACGTGGCTGAGCTGAGGAATCAGCAACCAACTGCCCAGAATATCAACAAGCGAGCTTCACCAGTGCCACCCCAACAGGTATGAATTCTGTAGGTGGCTAGTCCGGTTCATCGGCACCAAGAGGCGGCCAACGCCCCTGACATTGCAAACTGCATTTCGCTCACGAGCATGAGTCCCGTGGGCAAACTAACCTCGATAGGCGGCTAGGGAAACAACCACTGAAGGAAAGTGAAGGCAACGGTCATCCCCAAGATGCTCGGCGATATCCCCAACGTCAGCGTGCTGGTATTAACCCATGCCCAAGACAAGATCGATTCCCACCAGCTCATGAGATGAGCCATGTGTGCCAATCTAGCATTGATCGATGCTCCGGTTATAACCGACGTCGCGAGCAACGAATTGACGAGCATGATAGCACCAATCAACCTAGCCATCATGACTGAACTTTGCGCATCAATACGCACAATAGAAGGTCTTCACAGGCAACGGACTTGCAAACTCATTTGCTCGAAGTAAGGTTGAATAGAGCTGTAAACCCCACGTTATTATTCCGATGCCCTAAGGTATGAAATTTACCTTTTCAAGTAATTTTCTTTTTTTGAATGGAAGGGTAAAATGGTCAATTTACATGTATTTCGAGATGTGGCCATTATAAAGTGTAAAGGATGATGTCATTGAAGAGAAATGAGGGTAGAATGGTTATAAAGTTGATTGATAAGGTTAAATGGCATAAACGGTAACCAAGGGTATAATGGTCTTTTCATACAAAACCATATGATTTAAGTGTCCATAAAAGTGCACCAAGGGTAAATTAGTCATTTACCTAGTAGAATTACTTAATGGTTAAGTGTTTTAAAGAAGTCAAATGGCATTAAATGAGTACTTATCTTTATGTTGTGGTAGAAATGACCAAAACGCCCTTATATGAAAAATTTATGCCAAATGACCTTTATATCTAACTTTTATTGACCAATCACATTAGAGTATCAATGGAATGAATATTTACAAGGTTTAAAGAGAGAGTAGTCGGCCTTGGAGACCCCAAATATATCATCTTCTTCTTCATCTCTCAAATCCACCATAAAAGCCACTAATCCAAGCTTTTATTCTCAAATTTTCTTAGGATTTCAAGTTGATTTTTAAAGGAGATCACCATCCACCCTTAAAGAACTTCAATTTCAGGGTTAAAGGTGAGTTTCAAAACCCTAGTTTTTCTGAATTTTTTAGTTAAAAGAGAAATTCATAAGTGGTTATGTGTGTAAGGTAGAAAGGTGAAACTTTGGAGCCAAGGAGGAGTACCTTTGTGCTTTGAATACTAAGGTAAGGAAAAAATCTCCCTTATGACTACAATTGATAACACCTAGGGTTTATGAAACTTACATTTATTTATGTTAATATGAGTGTGATGCTATGTTTTGGTTATGGATTGTTTAAATGGGTGTGTTGATTGGTGTATGTGTGCATATGGAGGATGATTATGCCAATTAAGAGATTTGTAGTTGGACGATGTTTTGGCACTTTTTGGTTCTGTAAAAAGGGAGGTTTTTATGGCCTTTTATACTTAGAATGATATGGCAAATAATATGAATGTGCAAATGAAGGTGACATGGTTAAAATGAATAGAATTCGGATTTGGCTGTTTTAAGACTTATACTGTACATGCTTCACTGAATCAGTCATAACTGAAGTTATAGAAGTCCGATTGAGTTGATTCTTGAAGTGTTAAAAATTTGAGAAACAGACCTAAAACTTTTATGTTTTAGCCAAAAATAAATTCGAATTAGAAGATAATGGAAAAATTGCTTGAAAGTAACGAACTGTATGGCATCCACCTTCTTAATGGAAATTCCCATTTGTTTCTAATTCTAATAAACCCCTGAATAATCTTACTACTGAAATTCTTTGTATTGTATGAGAAATTGAATGAATTAAGTTAAGAAGTTTAGTAGGAGAATATAGTATGATTGAGCATGGAATATGTTAGTCCATATGTTTGCATTCATAATGGTAATGCATATAGCTTATTTAGTTGTCTTATGAAAAATTTATGAAATGTTAAAGAATGAATTCCATGAGTCTCTTGAGGTATAAACCAAGATCAGAGGAATGGAATTCTTATGGAAACCATGAGTCCTTTGAGGTGACGACCAAGAACAAGGTAATGGTTTAAATGAATCCGATCGGATAACAAAGACTAATGAAACCATCAAGTATAAAGACAAAAGAAATAAGCATGCCATGTACATGAATATTTCATAAGTCATATATGTTCTATGTTATATTATGTATGATTATGTTATGACTTATGTTCATGAGAAAAGTCCAAAATGTATGATATGTTTTATGAACTTGTTATGTCAAAGAATGAAGGTCATGTTTTGTAGGTAGGTAAAGTCCTAAGTAATTTACTTGTATAATGAACCTTAATAGTTTATAAATGGCCATATTCCTTACTGAGCGATTAGCGCTCACCCCACGAAATGTTTTAAAATGTTTTGCAGGTACGGATTAAGGCATGAAGCTGGGAGAGGATTCCAAGGGACGCTATGAGCATGAGGGGATGCTTTAATGATGACTATTGAATGGTTTTGCTAATATTTACTGTAGTAATTATGTTCATATCTCATAATGTAGTAATTATGTCCATGTTCTATAATGGAGTAAATATGTTATATTAATAAAGGAAATCAAATTGCTAGTAAATTTTATAAAAGTGTGTATGTTCTAGTAAGTATTACTATGGATTTCATAATTTACTCCAAGAAAGGAAATTATATTTTTTGATTATACAATGAACTTATTAAAATGTAAAAAAAAAAAAAAATTAATTAATTAAACACATATATCTATATATATGTTTTAAACTACAAGTTTATTCTTTAAATAGGATTTTAAAATAAACTTCTTTCCTAGGCGTGCGTTTTCTAGGTTCTCAATGGCCAAGGGATACTTAGGAAATACCCGGCTAGGGAGGGGTTTTACAAGAGCCATCCAAGGCAACCACAATCAAGACTTAGATTGCATGCAGAGAATGCTCGACGATCTGAAAGCCCGCCAGAATGTCATAGTAGAGGAAATAGTAAGTTCTTCTTTTACAGAGGAAGTTCGACAAGCCCTGCTTCCACAAAGATTCAGGGCACTAGAGAGTAAGTTCGATGGAAGAGGGGACCCCAGAGACCGCCTCGATAATTTCAATGACCTAATAGAGCTGCACCAGGTCTTTAACTTGGTGAAGTGTAGGTGCTTTACAGTCACATTAGTAGGGATGCCAAGAGGTGGTATAAGAGGCTTAAGGCAAACTCCATCAACTCTTAGCAACAATTCTCCTCGTTGTACTTACAGCAATTCCAAGCGAGGAGACAATTCGTAATGTCGCTTAGCTACTTGAGCAACATTCGTTTGGAGAGAGATGAAACCTTAACCTCGTACTTAACGAGATTCCAGAACGAGTAGGCAAAGGTTGCAAATGCACCCGAGGAGTCTATCTAAACTTTGCTGATTGCAGAGATTAGACCAAACACGGAGCTGTAGAAAGAGCTCCAAAGTGAAGATCACGTAAGCCTGCCAAGTTTTACAAAGTGGATGTGAAACACCAGTAGGTAGAAAGCTCGCTAACAACATTGGCCATAAGTTCGGTGCGAGGGGTCTTGGATAGGCGACAAGATCGCCCATCGGATAAGCACGGGGGCCAAGACTGCAATGATAAGGACCACAACAGATTCCAAACAAGACAAAAAATAAATAACCGCGAAGACAGGTAGCCATTCCTACGAT